ATTTGTGAAATTTGTGAAATTTGTGAAATTGTCAGTGCCGCCACAAGCAGAAAATGATTTACCGCCTTGGGGGGGCTCCGTTATGCCAGCCGGCAACTCATTTATCAAGCACAAAATAAAGAGAGCCCCCAAAATGAAGAGAGAATTCTAAGTTTTGAGTGGGGAAACTTTCACCAGTTATCGTCGAAGGGAGCGCTCTGTTGGGGTGGTGTAGTTTGTTGCGTTGTGTTGTGTTAGGAGGAGGTTTTACGGCTTGAGTCACACTTGAGGATGTCTGCTGGAGAGGACTTGCACAAATCACTTTGGGGCCTCATCCTTTCAGCCGAACTCACATTTTTCTGCTGTTTTGTTTACGTTTGTTTTTTTTTTTTGTTATTGTTGCCCGAAACTGACACCGGGAACAAGGGGGATGGCCAAAGTCGGGATCTGATCTGGACTTGGGTCTGTGTCCACTGTCCGTCTGTCTGTCCGCCTAGGTCTTGCTCTTGCTCTTGCTCTTGCTCTTGGCTGTGGTCGTTGCCGTGGCGGGAATTGAGGACTGGGGGTGACTGGGGACTGGGGACTGTGGCCTGGGGCTTTCCAAGACTGGTTTTGTGTGCTGGCTAAAAAAGGAAGTTGCTCGTAAAGTGGCGAAAGCCGCGAGCGAGCCGCCAGTGACCGACCCAACAAAATGTTCGCTCGCCCGTTCGTTCGCTTTCTTTCTGGCAAATCGGTTGGTTTGGGTCTGGCTTCGCTTGGCCTCCAAACTTCCTTTTCTGGCTGCCCCTTTGTGTGGCCTTAATTTGCGGTTTTTTCGTTTTTTCGTTTATTCGTTTTTTGATTTTCGTTTTTTTTTTTTATCATTTAGTACTTTGATTATTTCGTACAAATTATTTCTGTGGAATTGGCACAATTTTCTTGTTTACATTTTTGCAGCATGGCAAAAAAAGAACCCAAAAAGGTGACATCAATTGGCGCAAATTTCTTTTTACCGCACACTCACTTGAAAAACAACAACAACAACAAAAAAAAAAGAGCTAGCCAGAGATTGGATCTTGGATGTGTACTTTACGCTTAATTTTCGCTATTTTTCCTCAGATTTGCCTCGAATTTTGCAGTTTGTTGCGGCTTTGCGGCTTTTCGGCTTTTTGACTTTTCGACACACGTTGAACGTTGGAATCTTTGCGTATCGTATGGGGGGGGAGTTACTTTGCCACGCTGGCTCTGACCGTGTTCACGACAACGACAACGCTCCGGAGCGTCTAGAGCTCCAACCGAGTAAATGGGGCGGCAAGGCCGTGCCCGCTTCAAATGTTGCTGGCAGCCCCCCAAATGTTGCTTGCAAAGCGTCCACATGTTGCCAGCAACTGCCATGTACTGCGGCAACTGGCGCTAAAAAAGGTATGGACAACAGGTTGGACGCCCAGCTAGATACGAAGGAGGCCCAGTCGCTGCTTACCTTTTTTCTCACATACTCTTGTGATTGTGATAAGATCGAGCAACAGGTGAGCCAGTGACGTCGCTAGGTAGCCAAAGAGGGTAAGCAGCTATGGCATGTAGTGTGAGTCTCCCTTCTGGAAGATTCCTTCCTTCGTGCCATTTCGTCTTTGTTGTTCTGATTTACCTGTTTCTTGGGTCCCCTGAGCTTGGGGCATCTTGGATAATCTCCACTACCGCTTATGTTGCTGGGCCGTTTTCCATACCTTTCCATAGCCAAGAGCTCAGTTTGTTGGAACTCTCTATGACTCAGATTTGCGCTTCAAGCTTGAGTTTTGAGAGAGAACTTTGCTCTGCCGTCGAGCGCCGCTCGAGACGCAGCCAGCCGGCTCGCAGCATGTTCGAGCATCGTTTCGAAGGTTGTGAGCAACAAGCCGGCTCAAAGCGCAGTGGCGTGGTTTTTTATGGCTTTATGGCCTGGGAGGGGGTTTGGCTCGTGGTCAGAAACAGATCCGCACATCACGTTGCACAGCGCTAAAATTCTTGGCCTTGGCAATTCAGGCCGAGAACATGCTCAACTCAACGAATAAAACTATCTATGGACTGCTTTTTGTTGTATGTTTTTCTCCAGTGACCTTTGGCCCAGCCATAAAGCACTGCAAACTGCGCGAAAATGCATTGATATTGTACTGCCACATACTCGAGCACTTGTACAAGCTGTTTCTTCTGCAGAACATTTTAATGGAAATGTGTTCATCGGGGAGCATCGATAAGAAAATCAAAATTTGTTTACAGAGAGCTCTGTTTTTCTACTCACTCATGTGAATACTTATTCAGTGTTTTTGATTTCCATGGAATCAGAATCGGTGACTGTGGGGAATGTCGTTGAAAGTGGATCGCCATAGCGCATAGAAAATCTACTTTCAGTTGCCAGTCCGCTTCTACGAATACACTACAAATTGTTGAGACATCTGTTCCCAGTGCATTATTCGATAATTCAACGATTTGAGGGTCTGGTCGGCCAGGTAGCATCTTTGAGATTAGCACAAGGATCCATGAATGAGTTGCCATGCATTTACCACTTCCCTTATGAGTCTAAGTAAATATAATGAAATTTTTAAGATTTCGAATCTTTTACCCTGTTTTTGATTGGCGTAGGTCAAGCTATGACTCACATCCATACATGCCCCATAGTTTTTTTCGGGCCAAGTTGTTGTGAAGCAACCTGTTGGGTGCGGCACCATCATACCAAACTCGCTGTCGCTGTCGAACACGTTGCGTTAAGACGGCAATAAAATCAACAAGTTGTTCTCGAAAGCTCTCACTTGGTCCACCCAAGAGAATGAGAGCCAGAAGATGCGACAAAGTCGAACCGAACCACGACTGGCAACATCAGCAACAATTGTCCCAAACAAAAACACAACATGCCACATGCAACGTGCCATGCTGCACGCAACACGTATTGCAACACAGCCGTGGGTCTGCCCAGGGTTGTCGTCCGCGTCAATCTCCGCAGGGGTTTTGCCCAGAGGAAACGCTGGAGATGTGATCATACCTCTGCACGGAATACACAGGTCAGTGCTGCTGAAAATCCTCAAATGGTCCCAGTACCACAAGGAGGACGACCGCTTTAAAAGGGGAAGCACTGAAGCGAAGATAAATATTCCGAGATCAACTTTGTTTTATATTTCAATTCCCACTAAAAGCTTGTCGGGGGCTTAGCAGACTTTTAGTAGCCACTGAGGTGCTTGGAGTTTTGGAAGCTTTGCGTTGAAGCTTTTTGTTCACTTTGCAGACAACACTGTGGAGGGGCTTTTTGGCAGCTGATATCCCACTTTTTCCTTTTCCCAATGCGTGTACTTTACAAGCTTTTGATTCACGCGAAAGCTTCCACGTGCAAGCTTTAAGTTCGAAAATGCCAAAGTACAAGGAAGGGAACACAAAGTTATCGGGGAAAGCTTGATGTAAACAGCCAAAGCTTTTGAGCTTTGAACATTTCTACAGATGAATGTTAGACCACGCTGTTAATTTAAGGAAATCGTTTTCTTTATTTAATTGTGTATGCAGGTGATGCCTCAATTGGCGCTCGCTTACATCTACTATAAGTAATCGTTATAATAAGTAATTTTAATTTTAATTTTAATTTCTGTTGTGTATATTCCATTCTCCGGGGCTCACTTGCTCACTTGCCCACTGCTTTACTTCATTCTTTAGTCATAATTATTGAGTACATGGATAAAAGTAATCTTAAGAGTTTAAGAGTTACACACACGCATACAGGTGAATTATTGCTAAGACAAAACTCTGACACTCCACTCCAGAAAACCATTGCCAGCCATTAGGATCAGATCAAAACATTAAATGGAGACACAATGATGACATCAGCAGTCCAAAGTCAACTTCAAGACAAACTTTCAGCTGATGTACACAATGTAATGCAGCCACATGACTGGATGACTGAGTAAAGAGAAAAAACCTAGAAGGAAAATGTTCTTTCTTTTCTATCCTGGAGCTAGGAGAATTCTGCTGGTACAGGATTTTGTAAATTTCTTTACACACAATTAATCATTTGAATTGAATCTTCGATTTATGCATACATTTACATAATTCCTGTTTGTTTGTATATTTTTTTTTTATATTTAAAACTCTTTGTAACATTTAATTAATTTAAACATTGATTGCTCTTGCGTTGTGACAATAATTTACCATATAATCGATTTGTCAATATGTATGTAAACGTATAGTTCATTCAATAAATATATCTTCTACAGCATTTTGTGTGTTTTACTCTTCGACATTCACTTCTGCCTCCTGCTTGCCACTTGCCACTTGCCACTTCTGCTAATCCATCTTCGTCCTGTCTTGATTGTTGATTATTATTATTATTGATTACGTTTAATAATAAAAAAAATTGTCTAGTATTTTGTTTTTATTCCATATATTTGTATATATGCGTATATGCTTTTTTTCTTCGTCGTCCAGCGACATTTTTGCATCAAGTCGAGTAGTTTAAGGAGACTTTTATGATTTTTGGGGTATATATTTGGCTATTTGTTTAACAACGAAAACCCAAAATGCCATTTGTTCTTTGTTCTTTTACAGAAGCAAAGTCCATTCTATGTACAGTCTAAGGCCTATCTCCGTTTAGATACACATACAATAAATAAATACTATGTTAGCAATAACAACATCAAGACTTGTCTAAAATAAAACGCCTCCGCCTTAGACACTGTGTGGCATCACGCTGTGGCACCAACTTGCGCTTAAGGCTAAATTCATTTCTAGTTTCGGGATTTGTCCTTCATTTCAGATAAATGTTGACTGTTTTTTGTTGTTGTAGATATTTTCTATTCGAATCGAAACTTGGAAACTCTCTCAGTTGGTTTTTGGTGGGTGTTCTTAGCTGGCTGAAAATAAGTGGAGGAGCGGAACTGGAACTGGAACTGGGAGGATTCGTGACTCGAACTAGAGACTGGCTGCCTTGCTGGGCCGGGCAAGCAGCGAGCCAAGTTCAAAAATATTTTAGTTGACATTTTCCAGAGTACTCGTATTTGTGGCTACAATATTTTCGGCTTAGACTAGGGAAGTTTGTTTTTGTTTTTGTTTCTAGGTACATGGTACATTTTTCAACTCTCTTGAATTTTGATTGCTCTTGTTGATTGAATCAAACGAAGGATATTTGCTGTTTATTTAGCTGGAGATGATAAAAAATGATAAAAGATCAAAAAACACCTGAGGATTTGCACGTTTTGATTGAATTGAATTGATTTGATTTGAGTTTCAGATCCATAGATTTGTATGCATTCTATGTATGTATATAGTCTGTGGGGTTGCTTGTCTTCATTTTCATTATAGTTCTTGTAATTGGTGGTTTTTGTTCACAAATTTGCACAACACCAAAAAAATGAAGAGTACCTTTAGCTAAATTCTAAGTAAATAAATGTTGCTCTTTCCGGTTTTAGTTTAGTTTAGTTTAAGGTGTTTTCTCACTAAATATTTACTAGTTTATCAATTCCTGAATATACAATATATTGATCTAATTTCATTTTATATCATAAGTTATTGGGGTTATCATTATGCGCATCATATAGACTCGAACTCGTGTGTAGATGTTTGCCAAGCGAACCTGTCAAGTAAACAATTGTTTAGAAAACACAATTACATAATGAACAATGTCCAATGTACAGGTGATTGGTGCTTGGATGATTTGTGGCATGTGGCCTCGCTTGTGTTGTCTAATTGGTTTTGCCCAAATGCAGCTCTGAACAGATGTTTAATGGGTCCTTTCTGGGTCCCTATGTATATTGAATTTTGATTTGTGATCGATTCGTTTCCACATGCCAAAGGCGTTTGTGGCTGCGGCACACAAACGTTGCAATTAAGTGCAGTCGACCAACCGCATTAAATGAGCTTTGCTGGCATGGTCAGTGCCATTGATACAGCTGTTCCTGCAGAAAATTAATCATACGCCACGTGGCAGCAGCCGGAAAGTACAAAAACAAAAGCTTAAAGTAATGGCTGCTGGGATGTTGAGCAAAGCAGTTAGGTTCATGCTAGCTGCGAGATAGCCTCGCCCTCGTCCTTGGCCCCCATTTCGCATGTTCATGTGGCATGTCCTTGTGGCAAGGCTGCATTTCATTATGCATGTGCGTGAGTGTTTTCTTACGTGCAGCGCAGCTCACACCAGCAGCACTGGCGTGGACATTGCATGAAATGTGCAAACCAAAAAAGAAATCAAATTAAATACGCTTAAAAAGGAAATAAACAGGCAGCAAGCACAAGCTCTTCTTTTTCCTCAAAACTCACCTTGATAGCCAATTCACGTCAGTCCATAAATAGCTTTTGCATCGCGGATGGTTTTCGTTTTCGTGTTTATTTTTGGTTTGTTGTATTCTTTGGTTGGACAATTTGTTAAGCTGAGTCCGCTGTTATTCAGGGGTGACCGAGGATGCTTAGACGTGGCACACTGCACAGGTGTTGGCCGAAAGTTGCTGCCAATCAATTGCGGCCAATGGGGCGGGGCGTTTTTCTTCTTTCCTTAACTGTTTTTTTTTTTTTTTTGTCATTTTTTGTTTGCGTTTTGTCCGTTTTAAACTGCTCTCCATCCCTCTCGCCCTCTCTCTCTCTGTCTCTTTCTGTTCCTTTTAAGTGTAGTTTTTCACATTGGAATTTTTGGCTTTTTTCAACTGGGTTTCCTTGCTGGATTTGAGCGGTTTTCGCGGTTTGTTTGCTCCTCGCATGATGCGCCAGCCGCGAAAACCAATTTCCCAGAGCAAGAAGCAGACCGAGCAGAACAGAAAGAGAGAGACAGAGACAGAGAGAGAGAGAGAGAAAGTGTGTGTGAGGCAGGAATACCAGAAATGTTAATAAAGGTCCAGTTCGAGTAGCACAGTCCCAGATTGTTCATTCGTATATTTGTATTTGTTTTTGTTTGTTTGTGTTTGTCCATGTGTGTGTTTATATTGCTCAGTGTCCGACCGACCAGCCCTACCACCATCCAATCCAATCGAATCCATACTAGCGTCCGTGTCCGTGTCCGTGCGTGTCCACTGTCCACTGTCCGCTGTCCTTTGTCCGTTGTCCTTTGTCCGCTTATGTCTGCACGGGCACATTGCTGTCGGCCTCCTGGAGCACCGGCGCTGTCCAGACTCCACTGCCGCTGCGCGTCTTCCGCTGCTGCACAATCCCGTCCATTATGTCCAGCTGCAAGTTGTGTATGCTGCCGCGATGGTCAGTCAGGGGCGGTCCAGCGATGACGCTACCCCGACGACTGCCACTGTGAACAAATAAATAACTTCAAATAGTTGTACGTACGTTCACGAAAAGTGACAGAAACTGTTTCTGTCAGTGTACGGTGGTGAAGCTAAAAGCTGGAGGCTGCAGGCTGGAGGCTGCCTGGGTCTGCGGTTATCACTTTTGCATAAATTACAAAATTATTCCCCACTCTTTGCCCACTTTTCTCGTGCGCTTTGTTTCTATGGCCATCTGTGGTCGTAAAGTGCGTTGAGCGTTTAATGGACACGTGTCACGGCAAAATGTAACCCACCCAAAGGGCAGGGCAGGGCTGGGCTGGGCTGGGCAGGGCAGAATTCGCACAAAGTCAAGCCACAAGCCTCGGGCGTGTGGGTTGCTCGGTTTGCAGCTGATACTGGTCAGAGAGTTCGCTTACAAAAATGTACAAATAAACGATGCAATCGTTGGGATTATGCTGAAATCGCAGTCACATTTCAATGCCAAATCGATGAACTGTAATTTCATTTGGCATTGGCCAGGCCCACTTTGTGATACTGTCAATATGCCCCTGCAGGGACTCCACTTGCTCCAGCCTGCCTGCAGACAGCGGCCCCATTAGGGTACCAGCATTTTGATGTCACAGCGCCAAAGCTGCGAACAGCCGGCGGCAGAATTCAATTAGGACAGACCAGGCCATGGAACATGGACCCAGATACCAGCGGAAGAGAGAGAGAGAGAGAGAGAGAGAAAAAGACACAGACAGTGGCAGTGGCGGATGCTGTGGTCTCGTGGCACTCACCGGCCCTGCTGGCCCTGCTGGCCCTGAACTTCCGCTCGCTAATGGGCACTGCCCGGCCACACGCCCAACTCGAGTTGGGCTGACCAAAAGGGTATCTAGGAATTACCTGATCGAAGCACCGGAAATGGATTCGCGACGATTGCGTCCGAAGAGCGTGGGGGGCACGGCCGAGATGGTGACCACCGAATGACGGCGTCCACCGGCGGGATTTGTCTTCTGCGAGAGCGTGGCCAGAAACTCCACCTCCTTGGGACTCAAGCCGCCAGTCTCGCCGCCCACCTCGGACAGCCGACGCACCTGGCTGGCCGTGATGCCTTCGGTTATCTGCAGCGATGGCAGCGAATGCTTGCGCCGCTGCTGCATGTCGGGGAAGGGGCAGAGCAAATAGGGATTCACCGGCGAGTCCGGCTCGGAGTCATCGCTATTCGTACGCCTGGTGGTGGCGCCCGGATCGCAGCCACCGGCCGCACCCTCCAAATCATCGCCATCCTCGGGCGCATGCGACTCCTCGACGACAATCAGCGGCTCCTGGGTGCTCAGATTGAACACCGGCGTGAACGAAGATCGACGCATCGTGATCTCAGCTGCTCCAAACAAAGCTGCAAAGAAGAGATTTTCATTTAGTTTACATTTCTCTTGGCTTTCCACACAGAAGCACGGGTATGACCCGTCCAGCCACACGATTTCAAATCCAAATGGAAAATGGAATTATTTATAATTGCTGGATAAGTGGATTACAGATTCCAACACACAAAAAAAGCAACCATTGTCAAACGGAAGTTGTAGCCAATTGAATGATTGCACCAGAGGGATAAGCCGACAGGCAACACATTTGTATTTAAAATGAAAATGAATGTTCATTAAGTCCGATCTAGTTGTGAACTCATGGCAAATGTATTATGTAGAGTCAGTTAATTGTTGCACTATCTTTTGGCTTTTGCAGCTATGGACACGACACGACTGTGAACCCAATCGCATGCTTGACGAGTTGCATAAATGAAACTGGGCACTGGCACTGGCACTGCAGTTGCAAGGAAGAGAGTTCGGAGAGCCATGCAGCACTGCACAGGAGGCCTCACCGTATTGACTGCCTTTGTCGGCATTTGTCAGCTGGCGGCATCGCTGAATGCCAAGGCGGTTAGTTTGCGGGAAGCTGCCAAGCGCAGAGGTATGGACATTAACATTTTAGCATTTTACTTTGTAGAAGTCGTGGACGTACACGCTTCAGGAGACGAGCTGTCGGAGCAGCGATGAGAGCATCATTAAGGCCGAGACGCGCATCGAACGCATGGGCCGTGGCGAGTTCGGCCTGAGTGGGTCCCTGACCCTTGCCGTGCAGCTGCCCGAAGACTTGGAGGTGGAAGTGCTTGCCTATCGCAGCACAGACGGTGGCGCCAATTACAAGCTGCAGCCGTATTCGCTGCAACGCCAGGGCATCTATGCGGCCATTAACAGCTTCTACAAGGACATGATCATGGAGAGTGCCGCCAATTGCTCAAACTTCCCCCAGTTCAAGGACAAGCTGACGGTGGTCGAGCCACACACATTCACGTTCGAAAGGTGCCAGGTGAGCACCGATGCGTTTCCCCAATACGTGCCCGATGGCTTCTACAAGCTCAACTTTGTCACCTACGGCCTGGTCGAATTCGTCTGGGAACTAATCCTCACCATCGAAAAGAAAACCTTCTAGACGCGCGAGACCCCACAAAGTCCATAAATTACAGAACGAATTTGTTGTATTAGAAGTCTTAGATGAGATGAAATTATATCGAAATTTTAGTCTACAAATATCAAGTTGTTCATTTCGCTTCCACGTTCTTATTAGTTCTTGTCCATTATGCGATTATCTAGCGTTTTTCAGTCCCCTGATGGTAAAAACAAAGCACCAGTCGTAACCTCTATAAAAATGGCTCAATTAACTCAATTGAATTCAAAACTCAAATTGAAAGCAAACACAAATATGTAGAAATGTGCACACAAAAAGAAAACCCTTTCTGCTTTGCAGAACAATAGCCGGCTTTCCCCCCACCCACACACACACACACACACACACACAGCAATATGCAATTTTGGGTTGGGGCAGTTACTCGTATTGGGCTGACCCCCATCCGTAGGCCCAAAGGGAAGTGTGCTGAAAATGTAAATGAAATTGTTATTAAGCATTAAGAGCACATCAAAATCACACAAAAGAGAAACGGGACTTTCCGTTCTTCCTTTTTCTTTTCTTTTCGTTTCTATTTCTTGTCTTTGTGTTCGTGTGGGCGAGATGACACCATTGTAATGAGGTCGAGAGACCTGCTTCGACCTAGAGGTGAGAGCGTGACAATTGGGTTTCAAAATTATACGAGATTGATGCGCTGAAGGTCGAAGCGTAAATATTTACTAGCTGTTCCGTCTCTAGGAAGTTGTCTCACTGGCGCCAGCAAGCTGTCGCCGGCTGGTAATTGGATTGACGCCCACCCACACATGTGTTTGTGTGTTGTAAGTGCGACTTTGACTTTGTCCAATGCCAAAAAGGCCAATAATGAGCGTCTATAAATAGGCATCGAAGTCGACTTGCTAAGATTTCATTAGATTTTAGGTTCGAGCTGAGTGGAATGGACATCCCTCTCGCATTCTAATTAGCAAAAAGAAAAACAGGTCAAATGTTGGAATATCACCAGAGCATTTCGCTGCGATCTCGCGGCCTGCCGTGGTGAGTTTAGCTGGCAAGCTCTTTGACTGTTGCGGGACGTGGAAAAAAACAAAACACCCACGCACACACACGCCTAAGCCTGAAGAAGCGTAAACAACAAAAGGAATTGCCAACACACACAGAGAGAGAGAGAGAGAGAGAGAGAGAACACAGAAAGCGGAAAGCAACAACAAAAAAGCTACTCATTTAAATTTCTCTTTGGCTGTTCTCGCGATGAAAATGAAAATTGACAAGCTCCAACAATGTACCGTTGGGCCTCTCCCTCTCTCTCTCTCTCTCTCTCTGTCGCTCTTTCTCTGCGCGTGAAAGCTTTTGCTTGCGGGCATGCAGTGGATGGAGGAGCAGGTAGAGACAGAAAAATAACGGTTAGGGGAGAGCTGCCGCTACTGCTGCTGCTGGGCAAATGTAATATTTTGTCCAGTGAGCTGGCAGATGGACCCACCAGGGACACACCGATACAAGTCGGAGAGCAAACAAAGGAAGTGCCAGAGTGCCGAAAACAGAGTTTTTTGGGAATTCGAGGAGAACACAGTCCTCGAATTTGGAACTGTACATAAAATCGCACCACCACGTTCCTGCCACTTTGGGGCCACTTGAAACCGAATTTAAATAACGGATTTATTAAGTATTTAAATAACTTTAAAAATACGCACAAAGCCGCTGCTTGCCTCTTGCCTCTTGCCTCTTGCCTCGAAGAAATACAGATTCCAATGGCAATTCCCAATTGGGTTGGGGCTGGAGGCGAGGCAAGGCCTCCTCCACCGACATTTTGTGTGCTCGATACGGCTCGTGGGGTGCAGACAGACAGTCAGGTAAGGCAGGGCAGGGCAGGGCAGGGCAGGGCAGGACAGTCAATTTGAGTACCACTCAAACATTTAAATTTGATTTATCAGTGAAAGTGAAGGAAGCGACAGAAGCAACAGACGCGGGCGAAGCGTCCCTGCGACGCCATCGGATTGTAAACGCAATCAACTTCAAAATGGTTTAATTATAAAAGAACAGCCACCAGCATCAGGGACCACGAGTGCGCCCATGCCTGTGACCCCAAATGCGAAAACCCCCCGATGGACCAGCGCAGATACGGCTGTGATACGGTCAATCAGACACCCAAAAGCACCACCCAAAAACCCCAAAAACCAGAGCCACTTCCATGCCGGATGCCGCCCAAAAAACACCACAAAGTTTTGTCTATGCTCATAAACCGTGCAGAATATTCTGTCCTGTCCAAAGTTTCAATTTGAATTTATTATCATTTTTATTACACTTAAGCGGATTTTCAACGGGCGAATGAGCTTAAAAAATAAAATAATAATTACATTCACAAATATTTATGAATCAACTGTACATTTCATGCCCCTTAATGACTTGCATACAACAGTGGCAAGAACCTTTACTTTCCTCTCCTTGGCGTTCCTGTCGAGACTGTCATTGGAATTGAATTATGTGCAGCTGGCAAAACAAATTCATTGCCCCGTTTATATTGCTTACAACCAAACATTATTCTTGTGTGTACTTATATTTATCTGCTTGTATTCAGACACCTGCTGTGGTGTGCCATTTGTATACTCCGTGCGTCCTCCATCCATATCAATCAATGCTGCAATGTGATTCTGACTGTGTGAATGTTTGGTCATTTATCCATGTTCCACCGGCTTGAGCATGGTTCGAGGACAATTTGCTGATGGCCAACTGTTTATGGCTGAAAAGACTCTTCTTTCGACACACAATTGGGCAGTGGAGTATTTATTTGTTTTGTACTTAAAGAAAGTTCAAGATTAAATCATGGAAAATATCTTGACTGTGAAACCCAACCATAAAAGAGGAAATTCCGCTTCGAGTGGGGAGCCTGCAAGTGGAAGTCTCCGACGTGTCGCGTGCTGCAGGAAGTGGCTCCTCTCTGCCTCTGCCCCAAATGATTGTGCTGAATTGCCTGCACGTGGCTATGCTGCAAAATGATGCCGAGACGGCACTTTCTGCTCTGCCCCACAATATAATTATAAAGTAATAGCTGGCGGGCGGTAATTGTGACCTCTGGCCCATTGCTGATAACTCAAACGATGCAATACAATGGCCGAAAAGTCAATTGAATTTCCATTTCCATGCAAGTTGGCGTGCCAAAACAAAAGAAAAGAATGGGCACGAATAAAAGGATCTGGAAGCCGGGCAAAACTCTCGCACAACACCAAATCTCTGCAGTTTTCCAATTTGAGGCAAACAACGGCATAATTAAAGGCAACAAGCGAGCTGCACACGGCCACTGGGATTGCCATTGGCATTGGCATTGCGACACGAAAGAGATAAACGAAAAACTTTTAGCACTCAAAAACTTGCTGAGCCAAAGTTGTGCCCCTCGCTGCTGCTGTCAAACTCATTGTAAAGCCTCGAGAGTCCTTGGGCTCAGAACTCATTATATTGGGGGGTCATTGCAGAGGGAAAACTTTCACTCTAATCCATGATTAAATACTGAGCACAGCCCAGTGGCATATATTAGACACAAAACACAAGCAAAAAAGGTTCAATCAGTCAAGCTCTCTGTGCACTTCCGGCTAGGGCAGACACATCCTAATGCGAAACAATCGAAAAATAAGAGCCTTGCTTAACACAAAAATAATAATTAATAGTCGCCATATCTCAAGGCTCCACAGTTTGCATTCAAACTCAATTTGTTTTAGGGGAATTCCAGAAGTTTTGGAACTTTAAAACCAGATTTCTCGGGAGCTTCCGCTTCGCCCTAAACTTCAAAGGAACTTCAATGAAGAGATTTTGTTGCCATCTATTTCAACTTCACTTGACTTTGACTCCCTTTAATGATGCATAATTCGAGGATGATTGGATTTATTAGTAGGGAGGAGCAGGGGCTTACCCTTAACCCCTTTCATTTCTCGTTTCCATATCCATTTATTT